CCTTCTGGGTGTTGTGCCGCAGAAGGGGGCAGCTGGTGGCATGGGCTCCCCCTTCGCCCAGCAGGGCCCCCCGGCCAGACCACGCTTCTTCAACCCAAAGGCCATTCCAGGAAGTGTCTAGGCAATAATGCAGAGCGCTAGCTGGCTGTCATGACCACCCTACCTTCTCTGTTCCTGAACTCCCAGTATTGATTTTGAATCTTGACCCCTGTTCAAACCCTGGAATACCCACATGGCCCCGATACCTGGTATTGGCCTCAGCCTGATCCCCAACCTGTCTCTAGCTCTGTCCTTTGGCCTGACTCACTGCCTGACTATTGATGCTGGTACTTACTCTGAAGCCCAGCGGTTGTGCCTGCCTACTGAGTTCCTGACACTAGTCCCGCCTACCTTCACCCGGGATCCTGACAGCCTGCTTTTAAGGCCCAAGTGCCTGATGGATCACCACCTAACTCAGCCCAGGAGGCAATCAGTCATTCACCCCACTGGTGTGGGTTGTGTTTCTAATTGAGGTTCTTCCCTTTCTCTAGCAGGTGATGGTAGGGTGACCAGATAGCCAGTGTGAAAAATTGGTCCGGGGGTGGGGAGTAATAGGAGTCTCTATAAGACAAAGCCCTGAATATCGGGAGTGTCCCTATAAAAATGGGACATCTGGTCACCCTAGGTGGTCACTTAGGTGGGGAAACACCATCACATTGCTCTTCTATTTTTAGTCCATGTTTTAAAAAGCCATAAGGCATACGCGGGTCATCTTAGTAGGTTGAGAGCTAAAGTATTTGCAATAAAAGACTTTGTTGCCCTTCTCTGCTCCTGGTTCAACATTCAATAAAGAATATACAGTAATTGTTTTTTCAGACTTTCTGCAGCCATAGGATGAAACAAGCAAATCTCTTTTTAGTGACTCATGTTCTAAATTCATGGCACTTATCCTACAAATATCAATGGACAGGACTTAAGAACGGTAGGCAGACTTTGGAATGGCTAAAATACCTAACTCCGTTTTGCATTTTGTGACTGTCTAGCGTCTTAACGATGTTTGCTCAGAAGATACCCTCTGCCTCATTTGAGGACATTTCCCCGCTAGCGGAAGCCTCTGCTGAGGTGTATTCCAAGTGCTGTAGTTCCATGGCTGAAGACTGCATGCAGAAGGAGGTAGGAATCCCAGAATTCTAGACAGAACAGACCTCTTAGGTCACCTAGCACAATGGATCTTCACTTTGTTGACCCCACAAGCCAAAAAATGGCCCCAAATGTCATGCCACAAAAGCTTGTGGGATTTGGATCAAAGGGAGAAACAATGGGAGGCATTGGAATGCTTTGAGCAATAGGTTGGGCATACTGTCAGGTCCTGAGGACTTGGGCATAGGAATGGTGGGGATGCTCAGTGGGGCTGGCAGGGGCCTAATGCTGGGTGGGGGTTTGGGAGCCTAGGGGATGGTGGGCTGCTGCTGAGGCTGTCTCCCTTCTCTTCTCCCACCTCTGCCTGCTAAGTACTCACTTCAGTGAGTGCTGCTTTGTGAGGCTGGCTCTGAAGCCTCTAGAAACACCAGGTCCCCTGCCCCAGAATTAGGTTCTCTAGGCAAGTGGGAGGAGGGGAAGGTAGAGAGCTGTGTGGTGACTGGGTTGGGAGGTGGAAGAGGGATAAGGTGGCAGGAGCAGCAGAAGAGGGAAGAGAGAGAGCAAGATGTGCTCCCTGGATCCTATAAACTTCAGGATTTGGCTTTTTTTCCCCTCAGTCCGTGAAATAAGGGTCACACGCTGTAGACTGAGAAACACTGACTTAGTCCAGCCTCCTTGCTGGTGCAGGATTATACCACATTGTACGCTTGGTCATGCTTTGGTGCAGTTTTGTTTAAAATGTCTCAAGTAGTTGAACTTCCACAACCACTTCCCTTAGAAAATTCTTAGGAGAAGGCCAGAGTTTGAAAGTATTTGGCTGCCCAATGGGAATTAGGAACCTAAACACCTTTAACAATCTGGCCTGAAGTGCATAAGCTTCATAAGTGCTATCATTTCATTCTTCAAAGGGGCTTGTTTTGTTTCTGCTGCTTATTCCCTCTGGGTTTCTTTTCTCTTAGGGCATGTCTACACTTACCGGTAGATTAGCACTGCAGCGAGTATCAATTTAGTGGGTCTGGTGAAGACACGCTAAATCGATGGGAGAGCACTCTCCCATCGATATGTGTACTCCACCTCCCCGAGAAGCATAAGATAAGTCAACAGGAAACGCTCTCCGGTCGACACAGCGCAGTGTAGCCACTGCGGTAAGTGGATCTAACTACATTGACTTCAGTTACATTAGTCACGTAGCTGAAGTTACGTAAGTTAGATTGATTTACTGCGGTAGTGTAGACCAGCCCTAGTTTCAGATGACTGTATTAATTATAAAGACCTCTTTGAAATGGGATCTCTAGAGAGTAGCATGAGTGATTCCATTCAAATTTCCCATTTCATGTATTTATTTCTGTATTTGTAATTGAGTTTTCAAATCACCAGCTAATTTATTAGTATAATAATCACTTGTGCTGCTAATTGTTTTCCCTATTTCTTTATTTTCTCTTCCTCATGGAAGAAGAAGTTAGCAGATGGATTTGATAGGTGTCCATCACACTGCTGTGGAGTATGAGTAAATACATCCATTGAAAATTCTTTTATTCGGTTTCTATATTAACTCACCCATTAGTTTCCCTCCTAGGCAGTAATGTTTCTGTGGGGGAAATGTCTTCCTAACCTCAGTCTTTAGGCTTTATGTCCTAAAGTTTGGGGATTAATATCAGTTCTACTGTTTTATCCTAAATAGTCAAATTATGGATGATATTCTTATTCAGATTAACAATAAGGAGTCCGATGGCACCTTAAAGACTAACCGATTTATTTGGGCATAAGCTTTCGTGGGTAAAAAACCTCACTTCTTCAGATGCATGGAGTGAAAGTTACAGATGCAAGCATTATATAATGAGACATGAAGAGAAGGGAGTACCTCACATTTTCAACAGTGACTAGTGATCTGGGGTATCACAATTTTGGGGTGCCCAACTTGACTCTTACGGGGGTCTCAATTTCAGAGAGTGAGTGCTCAATGCTTTCTAAAAAAATCACCTTGATGGTATCCCATGTTGGGCATCTAAACATGGAGGCACCAGAACTCACAAGTTACTTTTGAGTATCTTGACTTCAATGTCTAATCCTCTTCTAAAATCTACTCGGCTTTTACAATGATGCCTTGTGACAGTAACATCCATGTGTGCAAACAAAGTTGGCTCTGACTGATTACTGTTAAGATGATATGATAAGCATTTGAAAACTGACATGTAACCCTGAGCATTGCACCCAACCTTGCATTCGAAGTCCAATACCAAAGTTCACTAGCTGGACTTTGTGATGTTTGTGGCAGATAGAAAAAATTAAGCCAGTTTTCAGAGGCTACAAAAGCCAGAGTCATGCCTTTTCAGTATCTCAACCATCAGGAATTGGTTCTGATATTTTAATCCTTCTACCATGTGTTTTTATTGTTTGACACATTGTCATTTTGAGACTGTTTGGGATCTGGAGTTGTTTGACAGCACAGAGGTAAATTTATCTCCAGCTTGTGCAATTCACTTAAGGTCTTATGAACTCATTTGTTTTTCTCACTCTGAACTCCAGGAACTGGATCCAAAGCCCAGGCAGTAACTGGAAATGCTGTTGTTCCAAACACAACAGACTTCTTATTAATAATAGATAAGGCACTGGAGGAATGACCACAGGGCTGGGAGTCAGGAGGTCCTGAGTAGTAATCATAGCTCTGCCACCGACTCACTGTTTGGCCTTGAGCAAATCATTTCACCTTCCTGTTTGTTTCCCCATCTGTAAATGGGGATGATAATATTTACTCACATGCCTCCTAAGGGCGTAGTGGGAATTCAGTAGTCGGTGTCTGCACACTGCTTAGAACAGGTAAACCATTGTAAAAATGCCAGATATCCCTATACTTCAGCCCTTAAACTCATGGCTGTCTTCTTTATAGTTATCAGAACTCACCACAAAAATCTGCACTAAACTATCATCCAAGGACGAAAAAATTTCTGATTGTTGCAAAGGAAAAAATCTCCTGGAAAACTACTTGTGCATATATTCACTGCAACCTGCTAAATCCCCTCAACTGCCGGAAATCCAAAGACCCACAGACGAACAGCTGTGCACGAACGATGGGAGCCATCCGATGGATCAGTACGTAGGCTCATTGCCTTCCTTTCCCTAGCCCAGACAGAACAGTGGTTATCCCTGTCAAACCAGAGTCTTAGTTTCATTCTAACACTTCGCAAGAGCACTGGGTTAATTGCCTTTGGTTTATGATTATTCATATCATTTGTATGTCAGCAGCATCAAGAGGTCCTCATTGCGACAGGGCCCCATCATGCTTCGTGCTGCATAACCCTAATAAGAGACAGTCCCTGCCCCAAAGACCTAACAATCTAAATAGACAAGACAGATAGAGTGAGGGGGGAGAAGGAAGTATTATGATGTGAACAGAGGCACAGAGAGATTAAGCGACAAACCCAAGGACACACAGGGAGTCAGTGCCAGAGCCAGGAATATAACCTAGATCTCCTGAGTCCCAGTCCTGTGCCTTAACCGCAAGACCATCCTGCCTCTCTTCAGGAATATCACCCAGCAGCTCCCAACAGGATCAGGGTCCCATTGCGCTTGTTGCTGTACTGACACACAAAGACGTAGATCTTCAAAGGTATTTAGGCACCTGGGTATCTTTGGGGATTTGGACCACAGTCCCTTCCCCCAAAGAGCTTACAATAATAATAAGAAAAATAATGACAATGGGAAGTATCAGGAAATGTTAATAATGTAATACACACTGGAGAAATTGGTATTTTTGTAGTTGCAAGATCGCATCATCTAAAGTTTGTCAGTAATGCTGGAATGAGGGATCCGTTTTCATCCTATGATGAACACACAAACTAGAGGGTACCATGTTTTTCTTCTCCTATTGCAGATTCACATTTGAGATAGCGCGAAGGCAAACCAACATCCCAGAGGTGTTCCTAAGTAAGGTGTATGATGCAACCCATAATCTTGTCAATGGATGCTGTACCGCTGCGGATTCCATGGCTTGTGTCTCTAGCAAGGTAACAAGTGTCATATTTTTCTCTCACATTCAGATGCCCTCTGCCTTGCTCTTAAATTTCTCCTTCCCCTAAAATCTTTCCCAAACTTACACGGAGCTTGTATGCGCCAGCCACAGCTAGCGGATCAGTACAATGCATTGTGACAGACAAGGGGATTATTTGATTATAGAAATATTCCTTTCTTTCTGCACTGCAGAGGCCACAGCTGAGAGGGGAGATATCAAAATTCCTAACAAAGGCCGATGAGCTATGTGGAGAATATAATGACCTGACGTTCCTTGAATTCAAACAGAGGTAAGAATTAAATTCTACACATTCCTGATCCTCTTCTACTTCCACCATTTGCTCCTAAAGCTTCTCCTCCATTCTTGACCAATAGGGCATTGCCTACAATATGTCCTGAATATTCCTACGCCTTTTTAAACAACTTCATTTCAGCTGTGTCTTTGCCCCTTCTAAGTTCACTTTCTACAGATGTTCTAGTGACCAAGTTCACAGGCATGAGTGTTTTGGGAAACATAGAAATGTGACATGCGTCTGATGAAGTGGGTATTCACCCACGAAAGCTTATGCTCCAATACATCTGTTAGTCTTAAAGGTGCCACTGGACTCTGTTGCTTTTTACAGCTCCAGACTAACACAGCTACCCCTCTGATAGAAATGTGAAGTGAATAATGGAGGATATTCACAGAAAGCAGATATATTTGGACCAGAAACCTCACTGTGAATTATGCTCCTCAAATCACAGCATAGAAAAAGCCCATGTGACCTGTGTTCAGTCAAAAGTGCTCGGAATTAAGGGATGTGTAAATTATCTGTGGCTCAGAGGTGATTTCTCTTGAAAGGGGACAAGGCAATGACTTCTTCTGCCCGCTTTAGTTTTAAGGCAGGGCTGCTAGTAGCTGAGGTTGCTGGTGGGTACAGTGAATCAGGCCCACTGAGTGCTGTTCTGTGCTCCTTAGAATCAGTGAGCGTTTTACCATTGATGTATTTGTACATGAATTCAACAGATCAGTGTCATTTTTAGTGCTTATTCTGTCACTAAAGTGTCCTTTAAAATCTGACCTGTTGCCCCCACATTGCAGACTAAAAGAAAGCTTCAGCAAGACCATGCCTGATGCAACCCCAGCCTCCCTTACAGAGCTGGTGGAGTGGAGAGCCAATTTCGCCTCCACGTGCTGTATTATGAATGCACCTCCAGTGTACTGTGGCTTGAAGGTAAAGTGCCCTCTCTTTCTCTGCTCTCTTCAGTGATGTTCAGTGGATGTTTATTTGCTTGTCATCTGTCATGTGACTCCTCCTGTAGCTGCTGCGACTCTGCATTTGGGGTCAAATCCTGCAAATCATCACACAGCCCAAGTAGTCAGCTTTTGCATTCGCTAGGGATCCCTGATGAGGCCATGGAGGAGAGAATCTCCCCTGCCCCTAAGGTCATGGAGTCCCTGAGCTTCCATAGCTTCCTTGCTGATTCCATCTCTGCTCTGGAAGGGCAGTGACCATTGGATGCAGGTACCAGTGGGTTCTCTGGCCCTGCATCCTCTCCTTCCCAGACCTACCCCATCTCTTCCTGAGAGTTCCTGCAGAACTAGCACCCCTGAATGGCACCTCCAAAGTCCTTCCCAGGGTACTACCTCCACCCTTAGGACAAAAGCCACACTCCTCCTGGAGCACCAAGCAGGGTGTACCCGGGAGGAGAAGCTCCTTTATCCTTTGACTGGGTGCACCACGCACTGCCCCTATGCTGCCCACACTCCCCCTCACCCCATGCCCACTGGAGAGTAGTACTACAGCATTAGCATGGGCATGATGGGGGCTATGCTTAGCCGCCATACAGGGACCCAAGAGAAAGAACACTCCTGGTGTCCTCTCCCTGCATTGTGGATTTGTTTAGCTGGGCACAGTCTAGCTTGCTTTTCAGGATACCCACTGAATGTCTGATTTCAGGACAAGAGCAAGGCTTGGGCGGGTTTGGGGGGAGGAACTGCTCCAGCAATATCTGATAATAACAAGGGGTGATGTTATCCTCTAGGTGGCACTTATGGCTGGTGTCCAGACAGCACCCAGCAGTGATCACCTGGTGATTAAGACCTCTTGACTCAACGGCTACACTTAATGCTTCTTACTTTCCTGGCAAATAGCCGGTAGCTCTACAAATAAACCATCGTTATCGATGACCTGGAAGAAAACATAAAATCATCACTGATAAAGTTTGCACATGACCAAAAAATTTGGGGGAGTGGTAAATAATGAAGAGGACAGGTCACTGATTCCGAACTATCTGTATCACTTGATAAACTGGTCACAAGCAAACAATATGCATTTTAATATGGCTAAATGTAAATGTGTACGTCTGGGAACAAAGAATGTAGGTCATGCTTACAGGATGGTTGACTCTATCCTGGGAAGCAGTGACTCTGGAAAAGATTTGAGGGTCACAGTGGACAATCTGCTGAACATGAGCTCCCAGTGTGATGCTGTGGCCAAAAGAGCTAATGTCATACTGAGATGTGTAAACAGGGGAATCTCGAGGTAGGAGTGGAGAGGTTATTTGACCTGTGTGTGGCACCGGTGTGACCTCTGCTGGAATACTGAGTTCAGTTCTGGTGCCCACAATTCAAAAAGATGTTAATAAATTGAAGAGGGTTCAAAGAAAAGTCACAAGAATGTATCCGACGAAGTGGGCATTCACCCATGAAAGCTTATGCTCCAATACATCTGTTAGTCTTAAAGGTGCCACAGGACTCTCTGTTGCTTTTTACAGATCCAGACTAACACGGCTACCCCTCTGAAGAATGATTAAGTGATTAGAAAACCTGCCTTATAGTGATAGACTCAAGGAACTCAATCTATTTAACTTAACAAAGAGAAAGTTAAGGGGTGACTTGATTATAGTTGATAAGTACCTCCCTGGGGAACAAATAGTTAATGGACTCTTCAATCTAGCAGAGAAAGGTATAACATGAACCAATGGCTGGAAGCTGACACTAACAAATTCAGACTGGTAATAAGGTGTAAATTTTTAGTGGTGAGAGTAATTAACCATTGTAATAATCTACCTAGGGTCATGGAGGATTCTCCATCACTGACCATTTTAAAATCAAAGCAGAATGTTTTTCTAAAAGATCTGCTCTAGGAATTATTTTGGGGGAATTCTCTGGCCTTCGTTATTCAGTAGGTCAGACTAGATGATACCAATGGTCTCTTCTGGCCTTAGAATCTATGAATATATGTGACTGCATTATGTTTCTCCTGGTTTTGGAAGGAATTGAGTTTGCCAGTTCTTGGCTCGAAGCTTCACAATTTTACTGTCACAAATATAGGGGCAAAGCTCGAGCCCAACATTCTGGTTTTGTTGCCTTTTAATGAGAGATTGCCTGAGTAAAAACACCTGGATTTGGCCCATATCAATTCAAACCTAAGCAGACAGAAATTATTTAAGATCTTGTTCATCACACATACTCTGTAAGGCCCCGATTCTGAAACTGGCTCCATGCAGGGAGATCCCTGAGCCCACATGGCACCTCACTGAAGTCCCTGGGGCTCCACACAGATGAAGGGAGTATGTTCACCTATAAAAGTTGCAGGATCAAGGCCAGAGGTTGGGAGCAGTGAGTGGTCAGAGTCTTGCCTTTGCATGCTTAGGAGACAGCTCAGAGAATGTCTTCCATCTGCCCAAATACATCCCCAGCAACGCTTGGTTAATCTCTTGACCTCTTGCATCCAGAGGCACCAGAGCAGCCAGCTAATTTGGGAACCCTATTTATTTATTTATTTATTGCCAACTGACAGAATTCTAGCTGGTGATAATCTGTCCACCTTCATCACAGCTTTAAGTGACCGCACAATAGGCAAACATTATATATTCCTTCAGTTTAGCCCATTGTTCCTGTTGAGTTCATTGTGAGGTCTTGGAGGATAAACTACAACAGCCCAGTCAGTTGAGCGGTTTATAGAGTCCTTTTGGTTGATCATTTTTCCATGTGTGTATCCTCATGTCCCTCTCCTGGAGTTCTCCTTCCTGTGATCACTTTCGCATGTCTTTGATTTAGTAGGAAGTTGCCAACCAATTTCCCTTCTATTCCCTAATTCATACTGCTAAAAAATTACTTTTTCTGCCTCTTTTTGTTTTATGGCTTTTTTTTTTGTCGTCTTGGCAACCATTTAAAATTGTCTGGGTATTGATGAGTATCCAGTCCGACAGGAGGACTTCCACAGTCCTTTCCCGTAGGAGCTGAAATCCAGGACTGGATTGCCACTTCTTCCCCATACACATGAAACACAGGCCTAAGTTACTCTCCATTGGTTGGGGGGGTGTGTGTTTTTTTTTTTAATAGGATGCCTTTCCCTGGTACGTCTGACTTGTAAAATCATATAGACCCAAACGCTGTAGCTAGCTAAAAGGGCAATTTTTAGGAGCTTTAAAATATACAATTGTTATGAGCAAGAGAATGGGCTTTATTTTAGGGTCTAGTGTGTGGTTGGGTCTGTTTCTGTTATATAGTAGTGTTCCTAAATCTCCCTGCATTCTCAGAGAGTACTTTGGTTTTCCTTACAGCTTTTTCCCTTATTACTTTTTTGGCCAAACTATGGCCTCGTAAGTAACGACTACATATCTGCCCTGAGCACAGGGCACCCAATAGCTGTGCCGTCCTGTGAGCACACCAGGCAGTGAATTGTGATGGAGAGTCACGATTCATTTCCTGGTTCCCTCCTTTGGCTCAGGTGGAAAGGGGCCGGGGTGGACAGGGAAGTAATCTGTGAGTGATCAATACCAATAGTAAATTATTTCCCTTCTGCATCTGCTGAGCTGCTCAGGTTGGGCAGATTCAAGGCTCTCCCTACTCACCTGCTTAGGAAGGGAGGTAGCAAAGCTGTTCTCCTCACTGTACTGTGACCCAGACAGCCTGTGCAGTTGTGTAAGGAGATGCCTTACCACCTAATCCAATCACTGGTGAGGTCTCCATGCCCCCTTGTGTTTGAACCAGTGTTCTGCGAAGCGTCATTAGCTGAGTTAGATTGTAAACACTTGGGTGCTTGGATCTCCTCTCTTCTGTGTTTGTGTAGCTCTGTTGCACTTTTCTGATGCTCTATAGCAATAGAAGCGTGCTCAGAATAAACGATTCTCCTCATTGTCAGTCAGTCTGTTTTGTGTAGGAGTTCCTGTTAAGAATACACAGTATTAAAATCACTTTGAATAAATATAAGCATTTCTTCTAATAGCTATAACCATCCGTCCTCTTTGTTACATGCTCTGTAGGTGGATAATTGCCTCGGATGCATTTATGCTTCCCCAGTGAGCATGGGATGCAAACTAACACTGTCGTTCATTTTCTGCTAGTAGAGCCTCACAGTGAGGGACAGAGACAAGTTCTATGTTTCTCTTTCCAAAACAGTCTGTCAAAAACCACAAGTGGAGCTGATCAGTTTTTGCTCCTTTCGCACATCTATTGCTGTCACACCAGGATGCTGAGGCTCTGGGTTATTAAAGGCTTGCAAATTTTAGTTTGTATGTAACATCTTATTTATTATGTGTATTGCTGTAATATTGCCTAGAGACTCCAAGCGAGATCAGGGTCTCGTTGTACTGGAAGCACACACATAGTAAGAGACAATGCAAATCTAAATAGAGAGACAAGGTGGGGGAGGTCCTATCTTTTATTGGACCAACTTCTGTTGGGGAAAAAGACAAGCTTTCGAGCTTACATAGAGCTTTTCTTCAGGAGACCTGATATTACCTCACTCACCTTGTCTCTCTAATATCCTGGGACCAACACAACTACACTGCATCCTATAATCTAACTAGACAAGAGCTGGCGGGGGGTGGGGGAAGAAGAAAGGTATTATTATTTCCAATTTACAGATGGGGAACTGCAAAACAGAAAGATGAAACTAACTTACCTAAGGGCACACAAGAAGTTGACCGTGGATTTCCTGAGCGCCAAGCCAGTTCCTTAACCACAAGGCCTACCTTCTTCCAGTACTAGAATAGAAGGTCAGTAGTCAGGCAGATCATCCATTTTGTTCATAGAGCATAATATTGCCCAATCAAGAGGGCCAGTACCTCATATAGGCACCGCTTACTTCCCTCAAAATAGAGCTTAAATGGGAGTTAAGTGACACATAGGCCTGGCGCTGGGCTCTACAGAGGAGTGAATTTCATCCAGAGTCTACTATCAAATTCCATCACAACCAAGACTCTCCTTCCAACAGTCCTTTATTGCTTTTTAAATAGGCTACAGAATAAAAATAGAATCTTTTGCCTCATTTTCAGATTAACGCTGAAGTTGGACACACATGTGACCACGATTCCTGCATGTTGATCTAGCTGTGGAAATGCAAACAAAAAAAACCTCCCTAGGTAGGTGTCAAATCCGACATGGACTTTGTATGCAGGCCGTTTATAGTGCGTGATTTAATTGGTAAATGCTCTGTGGGACAAGGACAGGACTACTGAAGACTGAAACTGCGTGCTGCTATTTGTCAGGTCTTTACACAGACTGGGAGAATTAGAGAGCACAGTAAATGAATTGCTTGCCTTAGAATGGTGTTTAGTGCAATTAGTGTGATTTTTTTTTTAAATCCGCTTTTAGGCTTAGTCGTTACAGTTTGAGATTTAAAAATGTATGAACACTGAGTACACGTTATGTGGTTTAGTATGTATCACTAAGGAATAAGCCCTGTCCCATCCCCCACCAACACTGAAGGCCCCTGGCAGCTAAACTCGAGCACTTGGGTTGAGCAAGGGGAGTGTGATTTGGAGTGGGAGCTTAATCCTGCCTCTCCTTCAGTGCTGGTGAACCGCACTGGTGAACCGCAATACATTCGCCCAGGGCACCTGGGAGTCGGAGAAGGACAGTCACAACCGAGCACTGCAAAAGCTAACTAGAGTTATAACTTGTGTGCTGCACATAACTCAAATCCTGTCCATACACAACGTTCTTCCACAATTCGTTGGGAGAGAATTCATAGAGTGGCTCAGCTTACTGCAAGTGCTAAGAAGCATGGGATGTGCCCCAGAAGTCTTCGTACCTCATGTCAATGAATACAGTGCCACCCTGGATGCAGCAACTCAAGTATTATTTCAGTGTGGCCATTCTCACTCAAGCTAGGATAACTCAAGACCAGTAACTGAAGTGTACGTAACTTAAGTGAAGTCTGCCATGAAGACATAGCGAGGGTAATGCTAAAGAGGAAACGGATGTATGGGACCAGATCCTCAAGCTGGTGTAAATCACTGTAGCTCCATATAATTCAATAGGGTTCTACCAATTTACATCAGCTGAGGAATAACCATCGTTGTTGTTTTGTCACAATCCTGACTTGAATCAAGATCTTTCCTGTCTTCACCAAATATATTTCTTCACAGGACTGTATTATTTTTAAGACTTAACATTTATGTTCTGAAAGGGACATAACATAAACAATGGGCTTGGGTCATATTGTTCCTTGTACAAACGCAAAAAAACCAATTCTGATATTTTTTTTTCTTTTGATCATTTTGCTGACAGAATGCAGAGTTTGCCAGGAAGCATTTTGAGTCAAGAGTCATCCGATCAATTGACTGGTTGAGTTACTTTGTTAGAACGTAATAATCATTCTTTCCACCTCAGTCTGTGATTGCATGTTGGAGAAAAACAACCGTTATTCTTTGTTCCAGTCACTATTTTACTTGAGATGGACCCAAACTTAACCCCTGCTCCTAACACACCCAAACTTTGGGGAAGTTTGAATCCTAATCCAAACATCATGGCTCAGCTCAGTATCTGCCTTATAATTATTTTGATCATTTGTTTAGTTTGATTGATAAGCTAACATTCAAAAAAACCAACAGCAGAAAGAATTTCTAGCCTGCTTTGATCCTGGTTTAGAAGCTAGACTTAATCCGGATTTAAAAGCAATGATTCCATGTTTAGCACCTTTACTGATCTTTACTAGTGTTTGTTCAATCTTTCATCTAGAGGTTTCAAAGCCTTTGTAACCAAAGAGCAGGAGAAGGAGGTGTATAATTTTTACCAATGGGGATAGAGAGGGTAAGTGACTGGCCCAAGGTTGCAGAGCAGAACAGCTGGGAATAGAACCTAACTTTCTCTATGAGAGTGACAGTTTTTGAAATGAGAGGTAAACGTGCCACACTCTCCATTGTTAATAAATCAACTCTCAAAATTGGCAGCTGACATTTCAGGCTGGGATTCTCAAAGCTGCCAATGGGAGTTAGGCACCCAAATCCCAGTAAATTTCAGGAGGAGTTGGGTTTCTAACTTCCACTGATCCCTTTGACTATTTCTCCCCTTCATGCAATGTTTCATGGGCCTTTTACAGAACTAAGCAATGTATATTTGATACATGGAAATCCTTTTTACACTTTACCCAGCAAACTGTACCAGCAAGTTCCCTTCAGCCCTACAACACTGCAGTCCAGGTTACGTGAGAGAAACAGAACACTGAATGAATTCCTTTCGATTACGCATTTCTATAAACATCATAACCTTTGGTAATTGTTTCACCTTTGTAGGCACAAAGTGAAAACAGCAATTAAAAGGAAGAATGATCCTCCATTTATGGTGATGCATGAAGACCTCTGCTTTTCCTGAGTCACAAGAACTAAGAGCTTGAATCAATCTCACGGCTTCTTATCTATTAGTACAGCAATGTGACTAGTGTATATTGCAACCTCAATAAAGGCTTCATGAGCACCTCCTTGCAGGTGATCAGGTTAACACGGTGGCATGTTTAAATGGAAAATCCATACTTGCAAACACTGAGATGAAGTCTCTTTTCGGTTAGATTGGACCAGATCCCCACTGCTATAAAGCAGATCCCTGACTACCCCCATTTACATCAGCTGATGATCTGACCCAACTGAGGACAGAAGTTCTCTTTCCAGTTTCCATTCCAGCTTCCACCAGAACTTTTGTCATGTTATTTTAACAACTCAAAGGAAAACCGAGCGTGTGACGGGGCAGCTGCCACTCACTTTCTGGCAAAGGGTTAATAGCAGCCCTTGAAGTGGTGGCACAGAACCCAGCCAATCAGAGAAAGGCTTAGAAGCCACCAATCAGGGCCAGGCTGGGCCCTATAAGAAGGGCTGCAGGGCAGAGAGGAGCTCAGTCTCTCCCTGGAGCTTGAGGGAGAAGTACCTGGGACAGAGCAGTGCTGGGCAGGGTCAGGGGAGCATGCAGAGCTCCAGCCTGGCTGGCTCACAGACCGCGGCCTTGATTCAGAATATAGTATTCTATAGTAGTGCTGCGGCTATGGGGAAGTGGCCCAGAGAAAGCAGGTAGCGGCAGAGGGGAAGGAGAGGCAGTGAGCGGCTGCCAGCTATAGGGTTCCTGGGTCGGGGCCCAGAGTCGCGGGTGGGCCTGGGCCCCCCCTCCCCTTTGCCCCATTGGCTGCCGAAGGAAGTGGCCAGCCAAAGGACTGCAGTTTGCCCCTGAGTGAGGGGCTGGACTAGGGGCTGCAGTTCGCCACTGTGGCGAAAGGCCGGGCAAAGGACTGCTGGTTCCCCGGAAGTGGGGAGACAACGGAGTTGGGGTACAGATAGCAGAGACAGTGGAGCAGTGACGGAGAGTGAGACACCACAAGAGGAAGGCGCCCTACTGATGGACAGAGCTAATTCCCGTTACAGAGCATAACTACGGGCCATTTCTCCACATCAGGGTGTTTGGCTGGAAGATTATCAGCAGGGTGGGAGGTTGATAGTAAAGCTTGAAAGACATTTTTTCATTTCCACAATTGTCTCGAACAAGGGCAATCAGCTCAGTGCAAAGGCGCTTAAATACGTGTTGACTTGTACCATACAAATCAGTGTCAGGAAAGAAGCTCAGCCTGTATTATGAAACATGTACGTATTAATTGCTACAGCAAACAGTGCCGGTCAAGGAGCCGTACAGTACTGAGTTCCCATTAGACTTTCTGAAACTGATTCCTAGCAGGACGTGACCTGTTTTGTGCTGTCCCACCATTGCAAAGCAGTCATAAAGCAGTGGATTGACCATGGCAGATGGGAATGTAACAGGGCAGCCTGCCCCTTTTAAGGCCCAGGCCCAGGGGTATGTGGCTGGCCAGCCCCACCCCACCACAGCTGAACAGGGTGTCGGACTGCAGAGGAAGAAAGCCCAGCAGTAAGGGGGTGAGTGAAGGAGTGTGGGCTGACAACTCTTTCCTGAGAGCCAGAGCCCTTTCTACTGGGCTGCCTGAGGAAATGAGCCACGGGACAGCAGAAACTCTCCTGCTGGAAGAACTAAGGGAAAGGATCTGCAGCTGTCAGGTCTCTCTTGGTAAGGGTGTGGGCAAGGCCGGCCCTAGGCACCAGCAAAACAAGCTGGTGCTTGGGGCGGCACATTTTTAGGGGCGGCATGGCCGGTGCCAGAATGTCGCCCCTAAAAATGTG